ATTATTTTTTTCTTGTTTTCTTCCTCCAAAAACTAGGTGCGTCTTATGGTCTGGTGCGTCTTATAGAGTGACAAATACGGTAATTTCTTTCCTTCCCAGTGACGGCGGTGTTAGAAAATGAGAGCATCCAGGGTCTGTCGGGCGTGAAGCCAATGGGCTACCGCAAGCGGACCTCCAGCATGGGGGACAGCGACAACTTCTACACCTTGGAGGCCATCATCCGCCAGCTGAACACGTTCCACAGCGTCATGTACGACCAGGGCCTCGACCCCGAGATCATCCAACAGGCTGTGAAGCAGCTCTTCTACATGATCAATGCGGTGGCCCTGAACAATCTGCTGCTGAGGAAGGATGTCTGCTCGTGGAGCACAGGCATGCAACTCAGGTGGGCTTCAGGCCAAAGCACATGATCATGCTTAGCCACCCTTCCCAAAGGCTGCACATCTCCCAATGCCACCATTTTGCTTCTCCCAGTAATAATAATAATTTTTTATTTATGCCCCGTCCTTCCCGGTTCAAAAACCGGGCTCAGGGCGGCTAGCAACCAATTTAAAACACTTGATTATAAAAGCAGCATAAAATACAGTATAAAAACATGATTAACAATAAAATTCAAAAATCAGTTTAGGGGAAATAAGCATTAGATAATCCCCAGGGCTAGCTGGCTGAATTGGTCCTACTTGGGCCAGCGAGGAGGCCAGGGGAGAATTAGCTGTGGGGTCTCAGAGCGGGTGATCTTCATAAAAGAGGAGGGGGAGGGAAGAGAAGGGAAATAAAAGATCAGGCTGAATTCAAATTAAAGGCCAGGCAGAATAGCTCTGTCTTACAGGCCCGACGGAAGGAGGTTAAATCCTGCAGGGCCCTGGTCTCATGGGACAGAGCATTCCACCAGGTTGGAGCCATCATCGAAAAGGCCCTGGCCCTGGTGGAGGATAGTCTGACTTCCTTAGGGCCTGGGACCTCTAAACTATGGTTATTCATGGACCTTAAGGTCCTCTGCGGGGCATACCTGGAGTGCCTGGAGGCAGTTGGAGGATGGATGGCGGCTAACAGGTTGAGGCTGAATCCTGACAAGACAGAAGTACTGTTTTGGGGGGACAGGGGGCAGGTGGGTGTGGGGGATTCCCTGGTCCTGAATGGGGTAACTGTGCCCCTGAAGGACCAGGTGCGCAGCCTGGGAGTCATTTTGGACTCACAGCTGTCCATGGAGGCGCAGGTTAATTCTGTGTCCAGGACGGCTGTCTACCAGCTGCACCTGGTACGCAGGCTAAGACCCTACCTGCCCGCAGACTGTCTCACCAGAGTGGTGCATGCTCAAGTTAATTCCCGCTTGGACTACTGCAATGCGCTCTACGTGGGGCTACCTTTGAAGGTGACCCGGAAACTGCAATTAATCCAGAATGCAGCAGCTAGACTGGTGATTGGGAGTGGCAGCTGGGACCACATAACACCGGTCCTGAAAGATCTGCATTGGCTCCCAGTACGTTTCCGAGCACAATTCAAAGTGTTGGTGCTGACCTTTGAAGCCCTAAACGGCCTCGGTCCAGTATACCTGAAGGAACGTCTCCACCCCCATCATTTTGCCCGGACACTGAGATCCAGCACCGAGGGCCTTCTGGCGGTTGCTTCATTGCGAGAAGTGAGGTTACAGAGAACCAGACAGAGGGCCCTCTCAGTAGTGGCGCCCGCCCTGTGGAACGCCCTCCCTTCAGATGTGAAGGAAATAAGCAGCTATCCTATCTTTAAAAGACATCTGAAGGCAGCCCTGTTTAGGGAAGTTTTTAATGTTTGATGCTGTACGGTTTTTAACACTTGATTGGGAGCTGCCCAGAGTGACTGGGGAAACTCAGCCAGATGGGCGGGGTATAAATAATAAATTATTATTATTATTATTATTATTATTATTATTATTATTATTATACCAGGAGAGGCGGTCCCAGTTTTTCAGGAGGAAGAAGGGCAGTAGTACGCACTGCCTCACCAAGAAAATGTGTGAGCATTGTGTGTGCCATCCCTGGTGCAGTAGTGCAATCATACCAGTTTGCTTGCCTCGACTTTAGCTCATCTCTCATGCTGTGTAGATCATCTCTGGGAGTCAGTCGCTACAGAGGAGCACACCCAAGGGTCTCTTTTGCCTTGGGAAACTCAAACCTTCTCAGCCACTTTCAGAGGCAACCTGCCATGTTTGAAATATTTCCTCTTCCTCCTCCTATTTTATTTTTTTTAATTATGGCCTTCTTGTGTCGGTCCAGGTTTAACATCAGCCAGCTGGAGGAATGGTTGCGAGGAAAGAATCTACAACAGAGCGGGGCTGCCAAGACCATGGAGCCTCTGATCCAAGCAGCACAGCTCCTGCAGCTGAAGAAGAAGACCTCAGAAGATGCGGAGGCAATATGTTCCTTATGCACAGCCCTCACCACACAGCAGGTAAGGAGGTGAAAGGATCCATTGATTTACTTGTTTATGAGGTCAAAGTCTTAACAAAAGACTTGACAAGCCAAACACAAGATTGTTTTGCTGTCCTAATAAAACCCGCACACACCGTTTTTAAGCTCACAACATCCTTGTGAGATAGGTCAAGCTGAGAGAGGTTAAAGAGCTCAGGGAGCTTAGGGACGCAGGTGGAGCTGCGGGTTAAACCACAGAGCCTAGGACTTGCTGATCAGAAGGTCGGCGGTTTGAATCCCCGCGACGAGGTGAGCTCCCATTGCTCAGTTCCTGCTCCTGCCAAGCTAGCAGTTCGAAAGCACGTCAAAGTGCAAGTAGATAAATAGGCGGGAAGGTAAACGGCGTTTCCGTGCGCTGCTCTGGTTCGCCAGAAGCGGCTTAGTCATGCTGGCCACATGACCCGGAAGCTGTACGCCGGCTCCCTCGGCCAATAAAGTGAGATGAGCGCTGCAACCCAAGAGTCAGTCACGACTGGACCTAATGGTCAGTTCCCTTTACCTTTACCTTACTGGTGAGCTTGAAGGCCAAGCAAGAATTTGACCCTGGATCTCCCCAAGTCCTCTCTGAGGTTATTACCCCCTCAGCCTAGAAAAGCATTTACAGGAGAAAAATCACTGGGCAGCTGTTGCAAACGTTAAGCACCCACTCCCACCTGGAAGCATCTAACCTTCCCCTCCCCACCCAGGTTGGGTGCCCTGTGTTATCCTTGCAACTTGTAGTTACACCCTTAGTCAGACCTCACCTGGAGTACTGTGTCCAGTTCTGGGCACCACAGTTCAAGAAGGACATTGACAAACTGGAACGTGTCCAGAGGAGGGCAACCAAAATGGTCAAAGGCCTGGAAACAATGCCTTATGAGGAACGGCTAAGGGAGCTGGGCATGTTTAGCCTGGAGAAGAGGAGGTTAAGGGGTGATATGATAGCCATGTTCAAATATATAAAAGGATGTCACATAGAGGAGGGAGAAAGGTTGTTTTCTGCTGCTCCAGAGAAGCGGACACGGAGCAATGGATCCAAACTACAAGAAAGAAGATTCCACCTAAACATTAGGAAGAACTTCCTGACAGTAAGAGCTGTTTGACAGTGGAATTTGCTGCCAAGGAGTGTGGTGGAGTCTCCTTCTTTGGAGGTCTTTAAGCAGAGGCTTGACAACCATATGTCAGGAGTGCTCTGATGGTGTTTCCTGCTTGGCAGGGGGTTGGACTCGATGGCCCTTGTGGTCTCTTCCAACTCTATGATTCTATGATTCTATGATTCCTAAGTTTTCTCCCTCTTTCCTTGAGAGAAGTGGCTACGTTATTTTTTAAAAAGGGTGATGCAGGGCACACTGCATCAATTTAGCTACTCTGTGTATGCCCCCTCCTCTAAGCCCCTGTTTTATTTTCCTTTCCACAGATTGTAAAAATACTCAATCTCTACACTCCTGTGAATGAATTTGAAGAGCGTGTGACAGTAGCCTTCATAAGAAACATTCAGGTGAGTGCTTCAACAGACAGGCATTGGGAAGTTCTACCTCTGCCTCACAGAAAAAACAACCATGTGTGTTTTCTAAATGGCAGAGCTTTTAAAGCCTTGGTTCAGGAACAGATCGCAGGGATACAAGAGCATTTATATTGCCTCTTTTTTTAACCCAAGATGCTCAGTTTCCCTCCCCCTCCTACTAGTACGTTTTCTGTGCAGCGCCACTCATAGAAGCACACAAGGCTCCTTTACACCAAATCAGGCCATTGGTGTAGCCCAGTTGTATTTATTTCAAATAGCAATGACTCTCCACAGTCTCAGCTCAAGATCTTTCCAGGCCTTAACTCCTTGCACACTTGGAGGTGGAGACACAAGTAATGAACCTGGTACCTTCCATGCACGCAAAGCCATGTGCTGGGCTCCTGTTCTGCAGATTTCTATTGATTGTTGCAAAATGCTTTTATCACAGACAAGGCCAACAGTGAGAGGGACGCCATGTATCTTTGACCTGTAGAAGCAATATTGGAAACATTGCCAGATTTCCTCCTGGCCTCCTGTCTTGGAAAAGAATGCCCTCATGGAGGGCTGCAAATTTGGGAAAGGTGACTTTCTGGAGGGGTTGGAGCTTTTCAGCATCCACAGCCACACATACCCTCCCTTCTGTGATTCTAATCTTTTGAGGGAAAAGAATAGCTGAATAATAGCTTTTCTTGGCACAAAGGTTTGGTTCCCATGACCCAAAGTCCTGGTATAGAATAATGGATCAAAATCCAATATGGTTGGCCGTTTAGACCAAAGCTTTACAATTAGCCACTTGATGAAAAGATTTGGTCTCAGAAGGTTTTTGGTAAATATGAACGATTCAACAGTTCTTTTCTTTGGTTTTTATCAGTCAATCAATTCGCAGTATTTGACTGCTCAGTTGACTACCATGGCAGCCAGATAAGTGTTAGTCTCATTCCCCTCTCCCAGCTGCAGAAAGCCAACTGAGGATAAGGCTGGTCTCAGCCACACAGGTGTTCCAACGTGAATTCTGCTGCATTTTGTCTGTTTGCTGATGTGTGTGTTTTCTTCCCCATCCCCTTGCCCCCAATTTCTTGTAGGCAAATTTGCAAGAGCGGAATGAACCTCCACAGCTACTGTTAGACTTCAAGTTCATGTTCCCTGTACTGTTTCCATTCAACCCTTCTTCTCTAACCATGGACTCTATCCACATCCCCGCTTCTCTCGGCCTGGAATTCCTCAACAGAGTTTGAAGATACTATATTGACTCCCAGCCAAATTTCCTAAGCAAAAAAGCAAAAAGTGGAATTTAAGGATCTCTTCAAATGTGGACCAAATGATGGTTGATGAACCAATACACTTTAGTGAATCAGTGCTGAATTGTATAGCATAAGAAACTAATCTTGTATTTTTGGTTGGATGCGTTTTGGTTTGTATGGGGGGGGATTTTTTTGGGGGGGGGAGGCAGATTTTGCTGCTAAGAATACTTGAAACAAGTGGGGGGTTGTACCACTTGATACCATGCTAAAAATATTCTTTCCCTGCTGCCATTAAGGCACCAGCATTGGTAAATGGAATAACTATTTTCATTTTCTTAGGTTGTGGTTTGAGAAATTCTATCTTGAAATAATAGAAAGAAGCCTTCGTGACCGTGCATCGTAACGTCGTCCATGGTTACGGGGCTCGCTTGCACATACTGAACTTCAATTTCTGAATTTCTGCTGCTGCCCTTCATTTTTTAAATGATTGTTTTGGGAAATAAAGTTGCAGGAGGCCAGACCAAGAATTAATTATGTAGTCCGAAAGGAAATTTAACTGGTGGAGGGAACAATGCTTTTTCCTTGCATCTGGGGCACAAGAAAATGGTTACAGTTGTTGTCCCAGCTCCATCAAAGGCAACTTTGTATGGAGCATAACCTAGAAGCGGTCAGTGGGGCAGTTCCAGCCTGCCTTCAGTATATTAAGTGGCCATAAATATTTTGTCCATGTGCCACACTGAGAAAGAGGAAAATCATGGACCCAGAAACCTCTGCAGGAGTTCGGCCCTATAATTACAGCTCCACTGCAGACTGCTGCAGGTTACTCGGACCAATCCAAAGTCTTTATGCCTCTTTTATCCTGTGAATATGTATGAGAACACATTGCTTTTACTGTGATTGTGAGGAAAGATAGATAGGGGTACAAGGTCCAAAATACTTCACAAAAAGGTCAGTTCCTTGTTATCATAGCTGAGTAGTCCTTACAGTTACTAGTGGCAGTGCTAATCTGCAGGACAGATTCCTTGGCCATGTTAGGAACCATTGTGAAGTCAAGATACAGTCTGGCAGAGCTTCCATAGGACTGGCTGGGCAACCTGAATGGAAGGTTTGCCTTCAACCAACTTTGTGACTTGTTTCAAGTCAGTTATGGAGGGCAGTTGCTTCATACCGTGGAAAAAGTTGTGTGATACCATATCTGATTGGGTAGCAAAGTGCTGGTTGGCAAGGAGGCCTTTTGGGAGAAATAGAATGAGATATTAGCACTGATGACATTGCATCATTACCAGCAATTTGAAGCAAACCAGAATGGGTAGGGAAATTATTTTACCTTCCTAACATGGCACTAATATGCAATAGCATTAACAGCACCACTTCCCCATCAGAGACTCAATTGCCTAATGAAACATGGCTTAAGAAACTGGATCTGCCCAAGCTTAGTGCACTGACACACAGTGCTTTTAAGTAAGCGGGCAATGAAGCAGGAATCCGCTGTTAACCATGACTTGCCATTACACGCAAACCAGGAAACTATGGTTAATGGTTTCCAAACAACCCAGGATCTGGAAATCAATGTTAAACCATGACTTCGTATCCTGGTTTGTTTGAAAGACATTCACCATACTTTCAAGGTTTGCACATGATAGGAAGCCATGGTTAACTGCAGCCTCCTGACGTAATTCCCTGCCTGTGCAAAGGGAAGAGGGAAGTGGCTGCATGTGTATCCTCACTTACCAAGCCAGGAAGTGAACGTGACCAGTGTAACAAATAGAAACTGTTTCACCAATATGGTTTTTTAATCTTTGGGTTACAGAATGTTTAAAGTAAATAGCTTTCTCAACTCTCTATTGTTTTGACATTAAAGTACACATGCAATTCCTACCTATTCAGTTGCTTTCAAAACTATTAAGCTTTGCAAAGGCAACACTCAACCTACTATCAGATAGCATCAGAAATGCAGAGCAACTTCCTGCAACTTGAACTTAGGCAGCTAGCCAATTCTAAGAGGGAGATTTTAACTGCTGCAAATCGAATGCCCAGCTTGCAAAGTATCTCCCTTATAATAGAATACAGTTTTTACCAACGGACTGGTCCTAAGCATTCTGATCTGATTCAGAAAAGAACTGGAGTACTTGCCCATTTCTAGCAGGTGATGAGTCCCAAGGGTCACTGCTCTCTTTTTTTAAAAGTTCAGCAGTCTGCATATTGAGGTCCTGCTGATTCAGGCTACGTTGCTCAACACCTTACAGTATCGAGTCCTTGGAAGAACAATATGCAGAGAGAGGGAGAAACAAGTAAAGTCCTGCAGTCAACTTATACACAAAAATCACCTCTCTCACTCAGCATTTCTAATGTGCACTTACAAATCCGCTGCTGCAACACTCCAGTGTATTAACATCGCAGTTGAACAGAGGTTATAATACAAAATGGAACTATTCTGGGGACCATGGTTTAATATAGCTTTTCATATTCCTAATTCATAAACCAGTAACTATAGCAAGTAACGTTTGCTTCAGCATGCATTTGAGACATTTACTTCTTCAGCTGAATTTGCTTCAGTTCTACAGTGCCTTGAGCTTGTTTGGTAGTTTTTTGCCCCTGCCAAAGGTGCCCAGTTAGGTTTCAGCCAGTCTCATGGTGGTGAAATTACCCAATAATGCTCCAGTCAAGGGAATCCTCCCCTGACACACACACACCCCGCATTGTTCCTCATTCACACCCTACTTGGGCATAGAAAGTGCCAGTTTTCATGGCAAACTTTGCCTCTTTCTCTTGTGACTTCCTGCATGCAGCAAACCAATGTTGGACAGAGCCTTTCCCCAGCAGTTGCCATGACTGACCCCGTGTGCTTAGGCATGCCAGCTTTGTGGGTTTGAAGCTTGATAGAATAAGGAAGCACAGTAAGTATGTTGCCTTCACTGAACAAAGCCATTCTTCTCCTTGACCTTGGCAAACAACTTTCTTTATACCACAACTGTCTCTTTCCAGCATGATTGAAGAGATTTCCTTTGAAGCTTCTTTTTAAAATAATAAATTCCAGGCACTTCTTTTTTTCTTTAGCCAATGCACAGTAATGGTCAATTAAATGACATAAAAGCAAGAATAGCAGCATCCAAGCCTCAGTCAGTACTGCAGCAGCCAGGTAATTTTCTTTCTGCATTATGTTCTCTTCCCAGGATCAAATCTTCCATCTCCCAAACAATCAGCCTGAGGTTGGGGCACTCTGCCAGTTGTGATGAACTAGAGCATTTGCCCCCTTAAATGTCGGGGGGAGGTGAACTGGGTGACTGCTCCTGATTTCTCCAGTGCAATGCAGAATTTAGTGTTGTCCTGCACTCTAGACTAAGCAGAAAGTATGTGTTCACAGTTTCTCTTGTTGCACCTGTTTCTGTGTATCCAGCTGTGCAATTTTTTAAAGTGTTCCAGCTGCAACTGAATCACCATGCATTGCTAACCATAATTCTAACCAGGTAGGCTAACTGAAAGGGAGCTGCAGAACCCACTTTCACAGTGATCCTAGAAAACGTATTTATAAAATGTGGCTAATGTTCTTCCTGAGGATAATGGTATTTCACTACAGCACTGCAAGGAGAATTTATTTATATTATGTATTATATCTGTGTATATTTTAAAAATCTAACTGTTAGTATAGAAAGAGATATGAACTAAGTAAATAACTGTAATATTTAACTGCAAAAGATTTTCAGAAGGATCTCATGTTAAATATATTTGATGTATGTAATTTTTATGTTATCTGTTTTTAAGATATCTTGGGACTTACTTTTTAAAAAGCCAATTCACTGGTATTGCCCTGCACAAACATGCCTTCTCTCTCTTCCTCATCAGCCATTTAAATGTCATTTAAAACTCTTTAGCACAGTTCAAAAAGGTGGTTGGTGTCATTTATTTCATCATTTTAAAATATTTCTGATAGAGTACTTTCCCACTGTGTGCCTTTTCACCATTATTCTCAATCACTATTTTTTCAAGACTGAGTGTTAATAATTCTGGGGAAACCTTTAAATGTCACCAAAAATTGCCTTTGGAGTTGTAAGTAGACAGTTGACGCTGGAAATTTTGAAGCAGACATGTTCAAAAGTCCATGAAGCAAGTTCAGTATTCACTGTAAACAATAGATGCAGTCTAGCAATTGCGCAGAATCCAAGCTGCATATACAGCGGGGTTTAATGGCCTTTCCCCAAGCAGTTTCTAAGCCTTTACCCCATACACGGCTTTTTAAAGGGAAATCTGTCCAAAAGTGTGGATGTGCAGACATTGATGCTTGCTTGCTCGCACGCACCCCCTTTTGCTAACATGGAAAACCCTGCTTTGTAGGAACACACATTCATAATTAATCAGCACACATATTAACAGCAAAAAAATAAAAAATGCATTCAGACCCACAAATTGAGAAGGGGGAGGAGAGAAAGCAGCATATATTACATTCCTCATAATAAAGGGCAATTGAGTGGGGATAGCAGTCAAATTAGCAATGTTGAAGATCCTCTAGCAACGAATAGCCCAGCATGTAACTTCTCTATACTTAGTCCAGCTAGTATGGAAAGAACACGTCACCAGTGAGCAACTTAAGGAATTTCTTCCTGAGTCAGTAATTCATAATTATGTGTCAGTTAAATTTGGGCAATGGATCTTTTTATAACTATTGGAACTGCTCCCAGAGACGAATTCATGTGTGAAATTCTTACTGTAGCAATTAGCTGAAGATCATGTGCTGGTGAAGCAGTCATTGATCGCTATTCCATGAATGGTGCCATAGCTAGCAAAAAACAACAACCCAACCCGCTTTTGTTACTCCCTTCCTTCCAGCAATGAGATCGCGGGTTGAGAAAGGGTGTTACAAAGATTTTCTATGCAGCAGCAGGAACATATCAAGTGAGGCTGGAAGAAATCTGCAGCCACTACCAAACATCTCTCTTTGTCTATCCTCTTCCATCAGCAGCAGACTTCCAAAGAGAGAAGGGAGCATTTCAATTTCCTAGACTTGGCAGAAATCCTATAAAGTCACTGAACTTCTTGGGGCTGATTCCCACACTGTTTGGGTGGGTGCGGACTTGGTTTTGATCTGTGCTGGCTTTATTTTGTCACTTCTTTAGGACAAGGGTGACTAACCTGAGGCACTCCAATTCCCGTCAGCCCCAACCAGCATGCCAAATGGTCAGTGACGCTGGGAGTGGTAGTCCAAAAATAGCTGGAGAGCTACAGGTTTGCCTCCTCTGCTCAAGGCTTCAAATTACTGTACTATAATGCAATAAACAGGGGTTCACAACAGGGTGTCTGCACAACTTCATCATATATATGTTCAATGAACATGGACAGTTTGCATTGAATCTAAACCCCCAAAGCGAATTGACTGCCCTATAGTACTGGCTGTGCCCTTGAAACTAATTGTCAGAGTTGGGCATTAGGCTACCCCAGCACCATAACTTTATTTATTGAAGGGAGACTGGTCAGACCTATACCCTATGAAAATCAACAACTGCCAGTGAAATCAGCTATTTGACTACACGATCATGCTTATTTAAAATCATGCTGCAATATTATATGTGTACCAGGATTAAGACACTGGTAGCAGGCCATGGGTCTATGTGTTCCCTCTTCCCCACCACCTGTTAATCACATTTTTCTATTACATCAGTACCACTGCTAGTTGCAGCTAATGCTTAAGTAGGAACCTTGACTGACACCAGTGGTGACACTGAAATAAAAGTTAAGGGCAGTGGAAATTCACCATGAGGAGAGGAGCACACAGGCACACAGCCTGCTCCTGAACTCCTGAAACAGGATTAAGACAACAGAAGCATTACGTTCCTATTGTCCCTTTTAAGATGTTATAGAAATAAAGTATGCAAGAATTTGCAGTGGCTGACCAGGCTGCTGCAAGCGTTTGTAAAGGTGTATTAACACTAAGCCATATTTCCTCCTCATGCCAGCACTACATTAACAACATGAACTTGTTTCTTATTGTCAGAAACTGTAATAGGACTGTAATTTTAGTGGTCAGAATGACTTAGGATTATGGATAGCCAGCTACAATAATCCTATAACTGTGCCAATCAAAATATATTGTACAAGCCTGTTTACGCCTGTCTCCTCAACCCATTGGATTTTTATGTATTTGAAGGTGTAACAGAACAGTTTGCTTTCTGAATTAAGGCTGAATATTTTAAATACAAGCAGCCAATAACATTCCCCTTAAATACTAGAATTGTTCAAAGAACACAAAGGCCTGACAGTAAAAATGGATGTGCAAAAGGGAAATAAGGATTTGCCTAGCAGTACCCAATCCAGGGTTTGCTGTGTGCATGCCAAGTCTTAAGTCACCACTGGTTGATAGGTCGGCTGCTCTGAAGGTACTTGAATGACTTTTGAAGGCAAGTCCCAAAAATGTAGATGAAATGATACTGCTGGTAAAAGAAATATTTTTCCATTTTGAACAGATCTGTAAACTACACTTTCTGTTTGTAGGAAAACGACAAATAGTCCTGTCCTTCAGCTGTGCATAAAATATTGTGAAATAAATACTTTGGAATATGTGGGAGGCTGTTGGGACTTATTTTCTAGTGCACTGCATTGAAAACGTCGTATTTGCATGAGATTGACAATTCCCATTTCAAAGGCGTAATCCTTCTCATGGGCAGAATTGAGGATGAGTTGACATTTTCAGAACGTACCTGGCTGGCTCTCTGACCCTAAACACATCCACCTGTGTTTTTGCCAGTGGGTTGCACGTCTGGTAAAGTATCAGTATACCATTTTTTAAAAAAATATTCATATATATATAGAGAGAGAGAGAGAGTGTGTAAACAAATATATATCAGTTGAAGGGTGAGTTTGAGCCCAGAGCCAGCCAGATCCTGATGGCCCCAATTTGTAAGGATGGTGAGAGGATGGGAAAAGGTACTACAATACCTCCTTTTATCCATGTCAGTTCTTCCCCAAAAGCATTTTACAAAAGGTTCTCATCTCTGCACTGCTGTATGCAAGAAATTTGCATCTTGCATGCACAGATATACATCCCTGGTTTCATTTGAAAGAATAGAGAAGTACAAGCTGATAGGGAAATATATTTCAGTGTTAAACCTATGAGGTCCCACAATGTATTTGCATGCTGATTTTCTTGAACAATTCTATCCTAGGAAAAGAAAACGTACTCTGGCCTTTTGAGAAACAATCCAATTTGAAATGTGAAGACTAGGGCAGGAATAATAAGTAAGGAATCCTTACTTGGGAGGAGGCCCCACTGAACATGATGGGGCTTGTACCTAAGTGAACAGGAGGCTTAAAAGGTAGACCTCTGATTATAGGGCTTGTGGTTTTTTAAATAATTATGGCTTCTAGGGGTTCCTGAATTAACACTTCTGAAGAGCAAACATTATTATAGCAAAGAAGTGCCAATAAAACAATTCACATTCCTATTTGGTTCATGGTTGCTTCTGACATACCAAGAGCAATAAAGTCAAGCTTATAAAAAAGTAAAGTTTAATGGAATAAGGGGTGACAGGATGAATACTTCTATTCCATCTCTGCAGGGGTACAAGATAGCAACCTGTACCCTGTTGAAGCTGTATAGAGTTGCAGGTAAAAAGCTCTCCACTATGCTAGACGAGGTGTGAAGTCCATGACACTTTATGGCATATGTGATGGGCCTCCTCAGTGGTAGAAGCTTTATGGATTTCAGCCTTTAATGCTGTTTCAACTACAGTTAAGGAAAATGCAACAAAAGGTCTGTTTTCCCTATTGCTTATAGGGACTCCCTATACAGACTCCCTGTAGTGCATCATAGGAAAGCAGGAGAAAAGCTAAGGTGGTTTGAAAAACTCTGGACCATTGCCATAATGGGAGGAACTCACTAACAACCTACAGCCAAGACAAGGCAAAACCAAACCAATAGCACACTATACTATTGGGTATCCTTTCATTACATTTATTTAAAAAACCAGCCTGCCATTAAACACTGTGGATTACTTGCATTTGTTTCATTCTCTGCGTGGCAGCTTGTGCTGCAGGATCCAAGGGCCACATGAAGAAATCTGCAATGGAGAACAAATATATTTGCTATGAGCCGTTAGAAGGGTAGGGTTACAATGTGGCAGCCCCTCCAGAAGCTTTTGGAGAAAAACCTGTATTCCATGAAAAGTATTCAGAGGTAACTGATATATAAGTGAGTGTGCTTAATTTCTGGAACAGTTCAGCGCAAATGGGGTGTTCCTTGCTACAATGCTAGTCCTATTCCAAAATAGGCACGGGCACAATTTTAGCTGCCCCACTGAATACATTCATGAGGCATGGAGGTAAAAGAATTCAACGTTTGGGATATTAACATATGTCAATAAAGATCTTAGCATTTGAAAGTCAGGAAGGTACCAATTCTTACACAGTGGGATTTAAAAGGTTAAAAGTTTTGGAATGGGGAAAGAGTGAGTTTCACAGAATTGTAGCATTGCACGGGACTATGAGGATCATCTAATCCAACCCCCTGCAATGCGGGAATCTTTTGCACAAAGTGGGGCTCCAACCCATGATTGAGTCTTACGCTCTATTGACTGAGATATGAATGTGATAAATCTAGCCACTCCTGCAATGAATCAGGTACAGTGGTACCTCAGGTTAAGTACTTAATTCGTTCCGGAGGTCCGTTCTTAACCTGAAACTGTTCTTAACCTGAAGCACCACTTTAGCTAATGGGGCCTCCCGCTGCCGCCGTGCTGCCGGAGCACGATTTCTGTTCTCATCCTGAAGCAAAGTTCTTAACCCAAGGTACTATTTCTGGGTTAGCGGAGTCTGTAACCTGAAGCATATGTAATCCGAGGTACCACTGTATATGGTTCTCCTCCGAACAGTCCTATGAGGGACCTAAGAAGAGCCTGTTGCAGCGGGCCAATGGCCCATCTAGTCCAGCACCCTGCTCTCAGAGTGGCCAAACAGATGCCATGGGGAAACCCACAAGCAAGTCCTCTCCTCTCCTGCAGTTTCCTGGCATTCAGAAGCAACTCTTACTCAGGTAGGTAGTTTAGGCTGACAGCGCACGACTGGTTCAAAGTCAGCCAGGAGGTTTCATGGCTGGGTAAAAATCTGAACTCAGATCTCACCAATCAGATCTCCCCAGGTTCAACACACTTAACTACGACATATCCATAATATAGACAGGCTGTGTTTAAATCTACTTAGCAACACTTAAGGAACACCTTTTGTTGTTCCTTAAGTTTCTTTTTGTACATCAGCATCCAACTGCAGCACTAGGGACATATCAGTTATTTCTTGGTCTCAGATGCCTTTGTTAGCACAAATTCCATCATTCAGTTCCACAGAACTCAGATTGCGCAGTGGGCTATTCATCACAGACCAGGAACTGCAATGGTGAGAGTTTTTCAAGAGCTTATGAACAAGACAGATTAGAAAAATTATTCTCACTCCTGATCTAGCCCCTTTTTCCACCTTCCTGAGTCCCCACTCCCAGTGCAGAATCATATTTTTTTAAAAAAAATTATGGATGTATGGATTTATGTATGCATCTTCTCCCTACACTGAAACAGAGAGGAGAAAAGGAAGTAACAGCAATAGCAAATTAAAACAAAATGATAAGACAGTGAGCAGAGAAAAACCTGGGATAGTTGACGCATAAGTTAAGGACTGCAGAAGCAGAGGGGGAAAGAGAGCCTGAAAACCCATTGAAGCAGGGCAAAGGAGAGGGCTTGCAAACAGGATCACTGAATCTACGATTCCCAAGAACTATAACAGAAGGCCGATAATGTTTTTTCAGTATTTTACATAATATGCTACTGCTTTGGGAAGGTTGCATACATCTATTTCTGATATGCATAATAACCCAAGAACAATCTGAGATGCTCGAGGTTCTTCATGACAGAAAAGGCATGAAACTGACAGCCTTGTATCTATTTCATTCGTGAATCACTTCCTATGAAGCATCTTAAAGTGATTTCATAATAAATGATAGCAAAAACATGGTCTAGTATGCCTTTTCACCCTCCACTAAAGCTCCCAGCTTCGGCTTGTCATATATATTATCTTGTTTCAGTTCATATTTATTTTGACAAAATATAAATGCCTCATAATGCAGTGGAGACACTTGATTCTGTAAACAGCCATCCATACTGCTGCCTCCCCTTCAAAACAGGAGGCTGGCTGTTAAAAGAAACCAGCGCTACAAAACTTCACAATTAGGTTCAACCCATGAGATCTGAAACAGCATTTGGGCCTCTATTGATTGCAGTTGTTGGCTTTTTTTGCCCCTTTGCATTTAAAAAAACTTAATTTAGCAATCTATCCCTAGGAACGTAGGAATATGTCTTATACCAGGTGTTTGTATGTAGCCTAGGATTGTCTCCTCTGATTCAGAGTCCCTCACAAGGGTCTTTCTCATCACCTTCTTTCTACCTGACCCTTTTCAACTGGATATGCAGAGACTGGACCTTGAGACCTTTGGCAGATAAAGCAAAAAGTTTACTATCTTTTGAGGAAAGAGTGCTTGTTGAGCAAGACCCTCCCAATAAGCTATAATTGCACAACACAAATTTGCTGGTATGTGACTGAATGCCACCCAGTCGGGAAAGGCCAAATGGATTCAATGAGATCTCTGACGCATCATATCCAAGATCCATCTATTCCACTTCCCACACTGGCCTATCAGATATGCCAGGAGTCTACTAGCAAGGGATGTAGTAACAGCCCTCTCTTTTTTTCTCCACTGAGTGGCTTTGCAAGACCGAACAACCTCTGTTTGGGAGGCTCACTATGAATTTTCCAAAAACCGTCTATAAACATTTAAGAAGCAACAAAAATTAGCTAAAGGAGAATATTCAAGCAAAAATTGCAGGATGATGTGCAAGGGGGTTATTACCTAGTAAGGTAATAACATTATTAGGACCTACCAACGATCACAAAGATGACAAAGCTTTTGAGCTTTGTGCTTTGTTGTTGCTGGCATCTGTCTGCCTTTTGAGATAATGGAGGAAGTGCGCCTTTGGGAGTGAAGTCAAACTGCTGGAAAGTTACAAGCGCTGCTGAGGGGAAGATGAAGCTGGGGAAGATGAAGGCGGCAAGTTTCACTGTTACAGATGCACCATTTCTTCTCTCCGCGCTCCTCCCAGCAGCCATTCCTTGCCTGGTGAATGCTATGCACAGCCTGTCTGTCTCCTGGTGGGGTTGATGTTGCCTGCCTCCACGTCATGTTTGCAGACATCTTATTTGCTTCTTTGCTTATTTACTCTCAGTATTTATCCTGGCTGCCCAATGACATAGTTGTTTGGGAGACTTGGAGAGATAAAGTGATAAAAGGTACATGGTTCAAAACTGATGGATTTGCATGTTTGCTCACTCCTTTGGGGGCTTTTAAGTGGCTCCTTGCAGTTAGAGATGCAGGGAGGGGAAAACCTTGAGAGGTATGTGCGTACAAACCATAAAATGAAAGCACACACCCCAAAGAATCCTGGGAACTTTGGTTTGTTAAAAAGTGCGAGCAATCACAGGTCTGTGAGGAGCCAGAATCCACCACCAACTTTGGCGGGGGGGGGGCAGTTATTTTTTTTGCTTTTCTTGTTTTAATCATGCATTTTGTGTTATTATCGATGCAAAAATCTCCAAATGAATCTGAACTTCAATGCCTATAATCCCTGGTAGACGACAAGGATCCTGAGATCACGTTAAGGGTAGCCAAATTCTGTGCAACTGCCATAAAACTTAGGGAACAAGCTGTGCTCTCATAATGGTTAAGGTTTTAAATGATAATTTTAGGTTATGTTAATGACTAAGTTTTAATTTATATATTTTTAAACTGTTGCTATATCTGTATTGTCCCTGTTATACCTAATTGCAAATTCAAAGGTATCCCTATCGTGTTTTATGAATTCCATGATTTTGTATGAGGGCTGGAACTGGTCTGTGACCGAAATAATAAATTAATTCGTTCAATGTGTTATTATCTTGTATTTTTTTATGCTGTGAACCGCCCTGAAATATATGGTTGGTGGGCGGCATACAAATTTAATAAATAATAATAACAAGCCCACCCACAGACAAGACACTCCCCAGGCAGGCGCTTCAACTTGAAGCAGGCCGCGTTGCCCCGGAAACGGCCGGCGCGAATCTGCCGCGCCCCAAACCGCTCCTCCCGTTGCTCTCCTTTCCCCGCCCAGTTTGAGATCCGCGGGCGCAGATTCCACACGAGGGTTCCTCGTTTTTGTAGTAATCGTTGCCACCATGCGGAGAGAGCACTTTGGCGTTACCAAGCCTGCACCCAGTTCCCTGCCCCTCCCCAGAGACGAGTTCCTTCTCCCCCCCCCATTCCAAAAACTAAATAAAAGCATTATTAAAAAGGAAACCGCTATTATTTGCAACTGGTATTATTCAATTCAATTGCTATTATTGCAATCGAATTGGTACAATTCAAAGGAGCAGGATTCAAAGGAGCAACCCAAATGTGGGGTTGCTACACACACACCCCTTTATCCCACCCCTCGAGGATGCACACGCGTTACCTGCACACGCGTCTCACCTGTTCCCTCCTCTCGAGGAGCAGCAGGCAGAGTCCGCTTGTGCTGAACGTGACTGTGCAGATTTGGTGGCTGGGCGACGGGGAAGAAGTAGGGGAAAGGGCAAGAGGAGGAGGAGGAGGGGAAGAAACTAAGCACCGAAAGGCCTGGTCCCGGCCCCCTCCGCCCGCCCCCTCTGCAGGCTGGGCCTCGGGATTGCATCAGGGCGTGCGAAGGGAGACCTTCAGCCCAGGAGACGGAAGAGGCGGCGGCGGCCATGGCTTTGCTCAGAGGCAAGTAGTTGTTCCCCGGGCTTAAAACTTCTCTTTCCGAATCTCTTTCCCTTCCTTTCAGGGCTGCGTTTTGCAAGCCTGACGCTGCACTCGCGCTTCCAGATCCGGGAGCAGCACACGCCCTAGAAACTACAAATGCAAGATTTTTATGTTTACTTTGTTTTTATGTTGCGTTGTGCTCACTCTCATCTCGGCAGCTTGAATAAACACGGCTTTGGAGCAAAGAACATGAAGCAGCACAGGATAGGAGAAACGAGGCTTGGAGTGGTTCTTTTTTATTATTATTATTTTATTGCCGGCGTGCATACCTTTGCTTTTTATTATTTCTTTCTTCTTCAAAGGCAGAGCTTTTCAGTCAGGTTTTATTGTGTTTGCCCATGCTGCTCCGGGAGTTGAACTGGGATCGTTCCCATTTTGCAGATAGGGAAACGGAGGCTGAGAGGAGAACTTTTTATTGATAAGAAATGCATTGGAAAACAAAAAGAAACAGCTCCTAGCATTGATTGATTTGTATAACAGGTTGTCAATCATTTTGAAAGATATCTATCCACATTCTCCAAATTAAAAAAAAAAACTATAATATTCTACACTGAAATGTTTACTGTAGCAAAAAGCCACCAAGCTGCAGAGACTTTGTATGAAAAAGTTGGCTTTAAAAAAAAACACATCTAAAAATTAGACTGCAATCATTTAAGCATTTCAAAGCTTCCGTGAATAGGATGGCCTAATAATAATAATAATTGTTTTATATAGTGTATTTCAAATGTGCAAAGCCGTTCTTGCATATTATCTCAGTAATCTTTGCAAGACCCTTGTAAGTTAGGCACTGTAGGGGGCTTGCTCTGGTTTGGTGTAGCCAGGCATGTTGAACTAGGCAGTCCCTTCTTGAGATCATGAAATAGGACATGGGAATCACTACCTGTAAGGCTTTAGCTATCCCTAAGCATATGTGGACACTTCAGTGGATAAGGAGTTAACTAGTTTGCAAAATGTCTGGTAAAACATGCTTTGAAAGCTGCAGAGACTTTGTATGCAAATAGGGAGATGAATGCTGTCATGAGTATATACTAGTTTCCACATAATGAACAACATTGCTGCACTGGCTTGCATTTCTAAACTTGTGCAATGCCCCAGGTGCTTTTCTGTAACCATGAAAAGGCACAGCTTGTGAAAATGATATACAGGTGGTACATAACCCCAGTCAAGCTTGCTAAAATCTACCATTTGCCTGATAATAAATGTTGGAAATGTAAAGAAACTGAAGGTACATTTTTTCACCTTTGGTGGACGTGCCCAAAGATTAAGGCTTTCTGGGAGATGATATATAATGAACTAAAAAGGTATTTAAATATACCTTCTTGAAGAAACCAGAGGCCTTTCTCCTGGGCATAGTCGGCCAATCGGTGTTAAAAAGGACAGAACTTTCTTTATGTATGCTACAACAGCAGCAAGAATACTCATTGCAAAGTATTGGAAGACACAAGATCTACCCACACTGGAGGAATGGCAGATGAAAATGATGGACTACATGGAATTGGCGGAAATGACTGGCAGAATCCGTGACCAGGGAGAAGAGTCGGTGGAAGAAGATTGGAAGAAATTCAAAGACTATTTACAGAAATATTGCAAAATTAATGAATGTTAGAATGATGTTGGATTGAAGTTAAGGGGTTTCTAGCTGTACAGGCCAAAAGAATATGGAAAAATTGGTTTTAATATGTAAAATCTAAAATTTAAAGTTATATTATATCAAGATTAAAGATTAGGATTAAAAAGGAGGGAAAGGAATTGTTGGATTAACATATTTAATTAGAATACAAAAGAGGGAGGTAAGAGGAGGTCCGGGAAACAAGTAAATGTAAAAGAAGTGAGGAAAAGATGAAATTGTTTTTAATTGTTTTTTCTTTTTTTACTTTGTATTTTTTCTTTTTATTGTTAATTCTTTCTTTACTAATGTGGTTTTTTTCTTGTGAAACTTTAATAAATATTATTTTAAAAAAAGAAAAAGAAAAGGCACAGCTTGCAGCCTTTGAGTCTGAAATTGCTCCTTTCAGGGAGTATAAGGGGCTATATGCTACTTCCAGGATCAGAGACAACATGCTGGGAGAGGGCTGATGGCTTGATTGTGGCATCTTTTTTGGCATTCTGAGAAACCGATGCCGGATTAAATAGACCTTTGGTCTATTTACCCTAATAGGCCTTTGGTCTACTTCTTCAGACTCTGGGGAGTAAAGACCTTGTCAGTAATGAGTATTACAGGGAATTGATGTCTCTGGTGATGACTGTACACTTTTCCACACAGCTCCTCAAAAAGCAAATACTTTGGACCCAATTTAAGCAAATATTAACTATGAAAGCAGGCTTGTTTTTGTATCACTTCCGTATTACTTAATACTTAGTTGTTGGAAGAAGAACGGCTGTATTCACTGAAGGGGGTGCGTAGGATCTTAAGCCTTCATTTATCTCCATGGGCTTCTGTCAACAGATGGTCATCTTGAAAGGCTTGCTAGTAGAGCACATGGCTTTGTGAAAGGCCCCAGGTTCAGTGCTTGGTGCACACATGATGTTGGGTTGGGAAAGAAGAAGAAGAAGAGAAGAAGAAGAGTTTGGATTTGATATCCCGCTTTATCACTACCCGAAGGAGTCTCAAAGCGGCTAACATTCTCCTTTCCCTTCCTTCCCAACAACAAACACTCTGTGAAGTGAGTGAGGCTGAGAGACTTCAGAGAAGTGTGACTCTCGTAATCTGGTGAACTGGGTTCGCTTCCCTGCTCCTCCACACGCAGCTGCTGGGTGACCTTGGGCTAGTCACACTTCTCTGAAGTCTCTCAGCCTCACTCACTTCACAGAGTGTTTGTTGTTGGGAAGGAAGGGAAAGGAGAATGTTAGCCGCTTTGAGACTCCTTCGGGTAGTGATAAAGCGGGATATCATAGTTAAGACTCCCTGAGTAAAACCCTGGAGCCCCACTTCAGTATTGCAGACAATACTGTGCTCACTGAGCCAATAGTTTTCATAAGACAGCTTCCTGTACCTCATCATTGTGTTTTCCATCTTTTCCATTCCAGGTGTGTTCATTGTTTCTGCCAAGAGGACTCCATTTGGGGCTTATGGAGGCTTGCTCAAGGACTTCACTGCCACAGACTTAACGGAGATTGCAGCACGCTCAGCCCTGGCTGCTGGCAAAGTGTCTCCCGAAATCATTGACAGTGTGGTTGTGGGCAATGTCATGCAGGTTGGTAGAACACAGAAGATGCCAGCTGGCAAATCCACTTGTTGCACTCATGCTAACGTTCTCTCTCTTTCGACTTTGCTCTGTTGCCCCATTCCAGAGGAGCTAGAAATAAACTGGAACAACTGAGCTCTAGTATTTTAGTGTTTTGTTGGAAGCCGGCCAGAGTGGCTGGGTGGACCCAGCCAGATGGGCGGCGTATAAATAAATTATTATTATTATTATTATTATTATTATTATTATTATTATTACAAGTCACTTGTAAAACAGTTTCCCTTGGAGTATTTTATGTCATTGAATTTGCCCCTGCTGGCATTGTTGGGGGTAGGAATGAGATGCATACGATCGTGTAAATATGTTTTTGCACCCTACAGAATGTGTTTTGCTTTCTTTACAATTTTTTCATTTTTTTCCGTGCACATATAACAAGTACAGTCCTTAATGAACAAAGACATTTAGAGTAACTTAACCCAAGTTCACGTGTCTTATTAACACAGTGAAAATGGAAGCTCTTTATATAACTATATAACTTTATATAACTACTAACCAAAGCCTTGACCTGCCTTTCCCTATATTCTAAACTTTTGCCTATGGTGTGGGTGTTTCCTGAATTTCCTATGCAGAGAAAAGCTTTGGTTCTTAGTATCCTAGGGTAATTTGCATAGGGTAATTTATATCGGGAAGATTTTTACTTTGCATCCAGTTTTTTAAAAAATGATGCCAAATTGAACATGTTTATTTTATTTGTATTTAAGTAAGAAAACTGCAAAAACATGTCCCATGTTATTTTTATTTCTTGGTACAACTCAAGTATTGGACCTAAATTATTTTAGGGGTGAAATTAAACTGTGCTTAATGCAGCTTAAATGCTGTATTTTATGGAAATATGACTAGAATACTTGTAAATTTTAAATAAAAACACATGTACTTCACTTACATTGTTTCCACCCCCCAATCCTTAAATTTAAACAAAGGTACTGGAAACTGTTGACACACCAATAAATTTTGTTAATCCAAAGAACTGCACGAGATATGCTGACTCACATAACTTGCCAGGGATAAACACCTGAAAAACATTAATTACAACTTTGAAAGTGACAGGCTTGCTTAATACTGTATTTGTGGTTGTCACCCATTCAGTGTTGCTTTTGAACCTGTGGGACACAAAATTTCCCACCTCACATCACTGCATATAACTGGCTTTCATGGTGATAACCTAAACCAGGGGTGGGAAATTGCCATCCTTCAGGCTGAACTCAGCCTCCCAGGAGTTCAGATTTTCCCTGTAAGGCTATTTCCCCCAGCATCCCAGCAGGCATGAGGTATTCCACTGTGATTATTTATTAAGATGATTAGGCTGCTTTTCACCAAAGGTCCCCAAACAACAGAATCAGCAATAGGGCAACATAAAACTCCAGAGTAGGCTGATGCAACTACTCCAAAAGCCTGGGATAACACAGGGTTTGACGAGGCAATGGAACATTACCATCCACACCTCCGGGGGGGGAAATGTTCCAAAGAGGGAGGGGAGTTCCAAATTAGCCAGTGGAACATTATCTGACCCATCTTTACCCCTTGCAACAGAATTTGAGTGTGCTGTCACCCTAGACCAGGCATAGGCAAACTCTGCCCTCCAGATGTTTTGGGACTACAACTCCCATGATCCCTAGCTAACAGGACCAGTGGTCAGGGATGATGGGAATTGTAGTCCCAAAACATCTGGAGGGCCAAGTTTGCCTATGCCTGCCCTAGACTTCCTTTAAAGTTACATGCAGCTCTATCCTACACGTGCTTAAACTGAGTTAGTTTCACTGTGTTCAGCAGTTCCAAGCAAGTCTGTAATATGGCAACCATTGTAGGCCGATCCTCTGTATGTTTTCTCACTTCCAAGCATTGCAGTTTATGCGTTACCTGCGTTTCTTGCTTTGAGCAGCATTAACCAAGTGGTATGTCTGCCCTTCCTTGCAGAGCTCTGCGGATGCTGCTTACCTTGCGCGGCATGTGGGTTTGCGTGTTGGAGTTCCCATCCCAGTTCCTGCCCTAACAGTCAACAGATTGTGTGGATCAGGCTTCCAGTCCATCGTCAACGGATGCCAGGTACTAGATTTGCTCTTACGGTACCCTATTGCTAAGTTCCTCCTGTCCTCCATCAGCCCAGCTGTCCAGTGCAAGTCAGGCAGAGACTTGAGAAATGGGAAAATAATAAAGGTGTTGGATACTCCCATCTTTCTTTTTAATTGCATGATAATAACCAGAGAGTTGCAAAGTGGAGACAAGGGCATTACTGTGAATGGCTTACTCTACAGTGGTACCTCTGGATACGCACGCAGCAAACCTGCAAGTATTCTGGGTTTCGCCGCATGCTCAGAAGAGCTCTACTGCCGTGTGCGCATGCGCAGAAGCAATCCCTCCAGTTGTGGAAACGTTGGGATCTGACCGGAGCTCCGGAACGGATCCCGTCCGCAACTGGAGGTACCACTGTACTTCTTTATAAAGCAGTTCACACAACTGGTGATGAAAGAGAAAACAAAACAACAGAGCAGAATAATATTCTCACTTCTTCAGATCCATTTCCTCAATTAAAGCTTGGCCAGCCCAACAGGCACAAACTATATCGCTTACAAAATGTGCTCAGACCTGGACTGTGGTGAGTCTGCAATGACATGGAGTTCTGTAGGAAGCAAGTGCCATCAAATAATTGCCTCTTTGTGCTCTCAATTTCTAAACTCAACGCAAGGGGACCACCTAGCGTCTGGCAGGCTTGATAGAGAGGCCCTGGGACCTCCATTGAGCCTATGAGCTAGAGATTCCCACCACCTATGACATAGGTGATGACTTTAAAAGGGCTTGTCCTATGGAAGGAGGTGGTCTCCAAGCTGTTGAAGGCCCTATAAACTCTTAATTGTGCCTGAAAAGAAAAGAAAGCCAGTGCAAAGTTCTTGGAGAAGCCCGTGCCGTTAAAGCAAAAACTCTTGCAAAGTAGTAGCAAAGTGATTAGGAAACATAAGAGCCTTGCTAGATCATACCAAAGGACTAACTAGTCCAGCATAGTCCCGTTGTTGCAGATGGGAAACTTGCAAGCAAAACAAGAAAGCAGTTGCTCTGTCCCACTATTGTTCCCCCAGCAACTGGTAATCAGTCGTATTCTGCCTCTGATCTTGGGGATGATAGACAGCCACTCTCCTAGTGCAGGTACACAATTTTTGGAGCCTCGTGCAACACCCACAGGGTTGAGGAAAGGTGGTGTGGAGGAGTAGCATTTTTTCCCTTCATGCACTGGCCAGCTGTCCCTCCAAAAGTAAATTGGTATTGCCAAGTCCTTCCTCGGTCCAGATTCATCTGTAATGAGCTGAGGTGTTTTCTGATGCACTTATCCGACGCACACTACTAACCTGAAATGGTGAAATAAAAAAATCCCTAATGAGCTTTTTCTCTCTCGTCCCACTCAAAACAGGAAATTTGCCTTAAAGAATCGGAGGTAGTGCTGTGTGGTGGAACAGAAAGTATGAGCCAAAGTCCATATGCTGTCCGAAATGTCCGCTTTGGAACAAAATTGGGAGTCGATCTCAAGGTACAGGCGTTGGATGCTTTGCCATTGCTCTCAGCAGCTTTGTGTATATCTGGTAGTTGTTGCCTGGTAGTCATTCCTGAAGCTGGCCATTGTTTGTGTTGTGTTGTGTTGTGTTGTTTGGCTTTTTCCTACAAGCACTGAATTCGTTACCCCCAAAATCTTGTAATGGTATTACTAAACTTTTTGCGTTGTCTGTTTCATCCCCCTTGCAGCTGGAAGACACACTGTGGGCAGGGCTGACAGATCTGCATATTAAAACCCCTATGGGGGTTACGGCTGAAAACCTTGCTGCGAAATACAACATCACAAGGGAAGACTGTGACCGCTATGCAGTAAAGACACAGCAGAGGTGGAAAGCTGGTCAGTGGATTTACAAGGGTTAAAAACGTACAGTAGCATCATCCATTTCAAAGGGAAGCCTAGTTCTCATAAGTGGCAGGTGGTAGACCTATCTCTGGGCTGCACCACTCCAAGCCGCGGACTTGCGTGATGGAATGCTCTTTCATGAAGAAAACAAAATGCAAGGAAAAAGAGAGGAGGAATCTTTCCCTTTCCTCCCAGCTTCCCCCAAACAGCATTAAAAGGCTGTTTTGACTAAAAACGTTGACTATTTTAAGATGAGCAAATGTTAACCAATTTCACTGGCCAGTTCTTTCAGGCTTGACACACACAAAAAATTAGTGAGCAAAACCTAACCAATGCTGTCTTTCAGCATCTGCTTTGGAAAACTGTGTCACGTTGCTTGTCCCTGTAACTTGCTAGGGAGTAAGTGCCATAGAGTGCTTGCAGTTTTCTACAGGCAGCACATTTTGCAAAGATGTGGTTCCTTAGGCACCGTTTTGCAGTTTCATTTTTCATTTCATTTCATTTTTAATTTGTATACAGTGGTACCTTGGTTTAAGTACTTAATTCGTTCTGGAGGTCCGTTCTTAACCTGAAACTGTTCTTAACCTGAAGCACCACTTTAGCTAATGGGGCCTCCTGCTGCCGCCGCGCTGCCAGAGCACGATTTCTGTTCTCATCCTGAAGCAAAGTTCTTAACCTGAAGCACTATTTCTGGGTTAGCGGAGTCTGTAACCTGAAGCGTATGTAACCTGAAGCGTATGTAACCCGAGGTACCACTGTACAGTGGTACCTCGGGTTACAGATGTTCCAGGTTACAGACTCCGCTAACCCAGAAATAGTACCTCGGGTTAAGAACTTCAGGATGCTTCAGGATGAGAACAGAAATCGTGTGGCGGCAGTGGAAGGCCCCTTAGCTAAAGTGGTACCTCAGGTTAAGAACAGTTTCAGGTTAAGAATGGACCTCCGGAACAAATTAAGTTCTTAACCCGAGGTACCACGGTACTGCCTTTCTATGTTACAGTGGTACCTCGAGTTACAAACGCCTCAGGTTACAAACTCAGCTAACCTGGAAGAATTACCACGAGTTGAGAACTTTGCCCCAAGATGAGAACGGAAATCGTGTGCTGGCGGCGCAGCGGCAGCAAGAGGCCCCATTAGCGAAAGCACACCTCTAGTTGAGAACAGTTTCAGATTAAGAATGGACCTCCGGAACGAATTAAGTTTGTAACTAGAGGTACCACTGTACTATGCACACGGCAGTTTCTAACAACAAAACATACAGCAGAGATCACACAGACCGTGCAGTTGGTCTATTTGCCCTCCGTCATTGTTCTTGGCTCTTAAGTACCCACAAGTCTGATCAAACCAACCATCTAGAGGGGTCGCTGCTGGAAGGAGACCCCATAGACCAAGCACCCATATAACACCAAGCCTACAAGACCTACATTGGCACCCAGTACATTTCCGAGCACAATTCAAAGTGTTGGTGCTGCCCTTTAAAGCCCTAAATGGCCTCAGCCCAGTATACCTGAAGGAGCGTCTCCACCCCCATCATTCTGCCCAGACACTGAGGTCCAGCTCCAAGGGCCTTCCGAAGGTTCCCTCCCTGCGAGAAATAAGGTTACAGAGAACCAGGCAGAGGGCCTTCTCGGCAGTGGCGCCCAATCTGTGGAACGCCCTCCAGATGTCAAGGAAATAAACAACTATCTGACTTGTAGAAGACATCTGAAGGCAGCCCTGTCTAGGGAAGTTTTTAATGGTTGATACTTTATTGTGTTTTTAGTATTTTGTTGGGAGCCCCCCAGAGTGGCTGGGGCAACCCAGTCAGATGGGCAACATAGAAATAATAAAATTATTATTATCAGTGGTTTTTTTCTGGGGGTGCTCAAAGATACGCAGTACCAGCACCTTTTTCCTAGAAGGAAAGCACTGGTTAAAATTGTGGCACTTACTGTAAAAAGCTCATGGTGAGTCCCAGCACCCTTTTTTCTAGAAGATTCTCTAGAAGCACTGATTATTATCATCGTCTTTGTCATCTACCTCAAGCACGGCCCCTGGGGAGTGTTTCTTTTAATCACCGACTGATCTCTTTGGGTTCTCCCTCTGTGACGTACTGACGTCGGCCTTCTTGTTTTTATAGCCCAAGAAGCCGGACACTTCAAAGCTGAAATGGCACCTATTGAAGTGAAAACCAAGAAAGGCAAGCAGAGCATGGAGCGGGATGAGCACCCTCGACCGGAGACGACTCTGGAACAGTTGGCAAAGCTCCCTACAGTTTTCAAGAAAGATGGGACCGTCACAGCTGCAAATGCCTCGGTGAGCCAGGGAGCTTAAAATCCTGATCTAAGAACGATTTGCTCAGATGTGGCTCCTTTCCCTGGAGCTGAAGTCAGATTACTCAGGGTTCTTGTTAAAAAAAGCATACCATATGAAATAGAGGGCGGGGTATAAATAATTTATTATTATTATTCGTCAGCTATCCTTGCCCACAACAAGCCAGCTCTGGGGTGCAGTTAATAAAGCATTGCAAGCGATGCCATTTTTGCAAAAGCAGTAACATTACAGAAATTGAGATTTGCCGAGTCTGCTACAAGAATCTCAGCCATAATCTCAACCATAGCATCCATGACAGCCATCCAACCACTTCTTCTTGAGAGCTAGTGTGGTGTAGTGGTTAAGAGTGGTAGACTCGTAATCTGGTGAACTGGGTTCGCTTCCCCGCTCCTCCACATGCAGCTGCTGGGTGACCTTGGGCTAGTCAGACTTCTTGAAGTCTCTCAGCCCCACTCACCTCACAGAGTGTTTGTTGTGGAGGAGGAAGGGAAAGGAGAATGTTAGCCGCTTTGAGACTCCTTCGGGTAGCGATAAAGCGGGATATCAAATCCAAACTCTTCTTCTTCTTCTTAAAACCTGAGTGTTAATAGTGGAGGTTAAGCTTGACCTAAGTCATATATGTCTCTGCCACTGATCAGTTTTACTCGAGAATGGCCCTCTTATTGGGCAGTCCAGTTCTTATGGCCCAGGATGACTGCTCTGACATCATCTGATAGGAAGTGCCTACAGAGGGTGGTGAATACAGCACAAGATATTATGGGCTGTCCCGTGAATCCGCTGGATGAAATAGTGGAAGAACGTTGCCACAGGAGAGTGAGGAAAATTCTCAGGGATGATTCACACCCTGGCCGGCACTTTCTTGATCTCCTGCCCTCAGGCAGAAGATATAGAAGCATGATTAGTCGCACCAACAGGGTAAAGAACAGCTTCTATCCATGGGCTGTTAGGCTGCTGAATGAAAAGATAACAACAGGGCAACTGACTTTCGGGTTTGGTGGGTGTGCGTCAGTAAACGAGGGGAATTAAGACTTAAGAGAGCTGGGGGAGTGCTCGTGTAATCTCACTTGTATACAAGTTGTACAAGTGACAATAAAGTATTTCAATTATTTCAATAAGCTGCCCTTTTGAGTCCGCATAACATCTAATCCAGGGCAAACTCTTGTCAATGCTCAGCCGCAGATTTAGTGTCTGTTTTTCTCTTTCTAGGGGGTATGTGATGGGGCCGGAGCAGTGATCATAGCGAGTGAAGAAGCCTTGAAAAAGCACAGCCTCACGCCATTGGCTAGAATAGTAGCCTACCATGCATCCGGATGCGACCCCAACATCATGGGCATTGGTAAGTTACAGTCTTGGGGACTTTCCCTGCGTGTGCAAGGTGGCCCATGCAAATCCTGATTTGCAGCAACAGCATGAAATCCTGAGGCCCTTCTTTAAGGGAGCCTCGGAGCAGGATGACAAGGGGCAGGGCCTTTTCAGTTGTGGCTCCCCATCTGTGGAAAGCTCTCCCCAGTGAGGTCCCCCTGGCTCCTTCGCTGACAACTCTTTGGAGCCAGGTTTTTAAGCAGAGCTAGACGGCCATCTGCCATGGATGCTTCAGTTGAGATTCCTGCATTGCAGGGGGTTGGACTGGATGACCCTCAGGGCCCGTTATATGATTTATGTTCATGTTTCTAAATTTGTTGTAAGTCTCTGGGACATCTTTAAGTAACTAGTCTAATAGGTCCAGCGCCGAGGGCCTTCTGGCGGTTCCCTCACTGCGAGAAGCCAAGTTACAGGGAACCAGGCAGAGGGCCTTCTCGGTAGTGGCACCCTCCCTGTGGAACGCCCTCCCACCAGATGTCAAAGAGAACAACAACTACCAGACTTTTAGAAGACATCTGAAGGCAGCCCTGTTTAGGGAAGCTTTTAATGTTTGATGCATTACTGTATTTTAATATTTTGTTGGAAGCCGCCCAGAGTGGCTGGGGAAGCCCAGCCAGCTGGACGGGGTATAAATAATAAGAAGAAGAAGAAGAAGAAGAAGAATCCTAATGGAGAGTACCCTTTCTGGAACAAAGTGAGTGGGCATATTAGATGATGTTGTTAAATTTATATCCCGCCCTATACCTGCAGGGCTCAGGGCGGTTCACAGAATAAAGTTGCCTTTCCCTGTTTTCTTTTTATTTTTTAATGGAGTGGGGGGAGATATCAGAGTTGGGCAACCTGCTGCCCCCCCAGACATTGTTGAACTGCAACTCCTATCAGTCACAGCCAACATGGCCAGTGGTCAGGGATGATGGGAACTGTAGTCCAGCCACATCTGCAGGGCACCAGGTTGCCCACTCTTGGTGTGTGTGTATATAAAGCACTGAACTATCAGTTCTCTACTTGCCCTCATGCATGTGTATGTTTTTAACAAAGGTCCAGTGCCTGCTATTACTGAAGCCCTGAAGAAAGCTGGCCTTTCCCTGAAAGACATGGACTTAGTTGAGGTAAGGAAAGCTGTGCAGAACCCAAAACGAATGAAACAATACCTTAATATGGCCTTCAGGTGGTGGGGAATTTATGGCCTTACAGATTTTGCTGGAAACAACTCCCATCATCCCTGATCCATTGGCCACGTTGGCTGGAACTGATGGGAACTTGAGCTCAACTTTTCCCGAGATAAGCTATAGTCGAGTGACGTTCACTTAAAAGTGAACTATTAAGTGCAGTCTTTGGTCTGCCTATGGGTTAGGCAGGGTCTAAGTACAGGCTGCTGAAGATTGTTCATCTCTTATTGGAAGCAGCCTTCAAACACTGGAACTCAGGAGATCTGTATAGCTATTTCCCTGGTTGCATTTCAACACCTCTTTATTGTTGGTTCAAGCCAACATTTGGCATGAATATTAGATGAATTATTATTATTATTATTATTATTATTATTATTTTCCTCCCTTCAGTTCTTGGTTGATATTTTATTTGGAACTTGGTTGTGTTTTTAGTATATGTTTTGCAATATATGTTATTAATTCTTTCAGGTCTGCCACCTTGAGTTTTATGAGTTAGAAAGAGGTTACAGACCTTCTTAAATAAGTTGGGAAGTTAAAGGTTTAAAGCAGGGTTTGCATCTGACCTGTCATGTTCTCATTTTGATTTTTAAAAAAAAACATATACTTTTGACCAGTGGTTTTCTGCTCACCCACACCTTGCGAAAGCTGCTTTCTGCATCACTTTTGAAGCATCTGAACTGTCTTCAAGGATAGCTCCAAGTAGAGTATGTTACAGCAGTCCAACCTATAGGTGTTTCCAACTTTCTCTCTCTCTCTCTCTCTCATGTTTCAAGGTCAATGAGGCTTTTGCTCCACAGTATTTGTCAGTAGAGAAGGTTTTGGATCTGGACCCAGAAAAAACAAACGTCAATGGAGGAGCCATTGCTTTGGGTCACCCACTGGGGGCATCGGGTTCAAGGATCACTGCTCATCTGGTTCACGAACTAAGGTCAGTGAGTAGCCTGAAGGAACCTCTTGGGAACGCTTCTCGGTTTTGCTTTTTAAAATGCTGTGGAATACATGCTTGGAAAAGAGCACGGTTGGCATCTGCGTTTTAAGAAGGTGACGTAGGAAGTCATGGAGAAGAAGACCTTCACGTGAGACCTGGAGAGCTCAGAGTTGGGGTCAATAGTGGGCTAGATGGATAAATAGTCGGAACTGGTATAAAGAAGCTGAGATAAAAATAAACAGAATTTAGCTTGCTAATTGCAGTCTGGCTCAGATTCACAAGGAGTGTAGCTTGGTGCACACAGTATGGCTGTGTGTTCCCTTCCCTCCAGCAAGTATGTCAGGCTGCTTATCTGCTGTAGGAAACACTCTTCCCACCAACATCAAGGCATCGCAGTGCAGTGTGCTTGGCAGTCCTTGCCATAGATGTCATCCTGTGGAGCAAAAGAAAGGAACGGTAGAACTCAAATAATTAAAAGTCTTTCAGAACAGGATGGCAAGGCTTGAATCACGATGCCTTGATAACTTGTTTTCTTGTTTGTTCTTTCTCGTTTTTTTATAGGCGCCGTGGAGGTAAATATGCAGTCGGTTCGGCTTGCATTGGAGGAGGCCAAGGTATAGCTGTTATCATTGAGAAGACAGCCTAAAGGAAATTCGAGAATCTTGGATGGACTCTCCACCAACTGTTACATGCTCACTAGAAGAATTTAGAGAGGAGGAGGAGGAGATGGCCCCACTTGTTTGCAAATCCATGAAACAGACTGGTATGGACCATCTGGCAGGCTAGGGGGATATTGCAAAGTCTTCTTTGGAAAAAAGACTATAACTAGATAATCTCTAATTCAATTGTGTGAATCTAGCTGTAATCTCCACTTATCTTGTACGTCCTGCTGAGTTAAAATGTGACTTCTAAGTATGAATTTTATTGAACAAATGTTAAGATGCCAAGTATCTACTAACTATGCCTTACACCAAAGCCTGCTATTTTATCAATCAGTGCTGTCTTCCAAGCTGTTAGATCACCGCACTGGAATACTTCTGCAAATGTAGGTAGGGAAGGGATTTTACATTGCTGCCAAAAAAATGTTTTTCTTGAATGGATTTTGCATAAAGCTGCGCAGTGTTAAGAGCTGGGAACAAAGTGTAACAAAATCAGTGTGCCTTTAGATGATAAAATAATAATAAAAATAACCAAATGATTCTAGTTTTGTCATGTTGTAAAGCTTGGATGTCGTTTAAATTTGGAACATAAGGCGTTCTTGGCATTTGCGCCAAACCTGGTGGTTTTCTTTCAAAGTTTCTGGCATCCTTTTAATAGTGTTGCTTCTCAAGAATCATCTCCAGCCACAAGGTGGTGCATTTTCACCACATTGCAGAGGCTTTTGTCCTTTTAAGCTGCTTAGCAGTGCATCCATATGGGAAGTGTCCTTCATTTCCGACCTGTACTATGGAAACAGAGGGTTTCTCCCTGAATGTGAACTTTTTATTTCCCTGTTCCTGTGGCGAATGACAGCCTTCCACAGGACATGAGCTGAAGGGGCACCTAATGTTACTTTATTTGGGGGGGGGGAACGCTGAGTGGGGACGCGGGTGGCGCTGTGGGTTAAATCATAGAGCCTAGGGCTTGCCGATCAGAAGGTCGGCGGTTCAAATCCCCGCGACGGGGTGAGGTCCCGTTGCTCGGTCCCTGCTCCTGCCAACCTAGCAGTTTGAAAGCACGCCAAAGTGCAAGTAGATAAATAGGTAGCGCTCCGGCGGAAAGGTAAATGGCGTTTCCATGCGCTGCTCTGGTTCGCTAGAAGCGGCTTAGTCATGCTGGCCACATGACCCGGAAGCTGTACGCCGGCTTCCTCGGCCAATAAAGCGAGATGAGCGCCGCAACCCCAGAGTCGGCCACGACTGGACCTAATGGTCAGGGGTCCCTTTACCTTTAACGCTGAGTGAGCTTTGACCCAACTCTGGAACTGACTCTTTGCCATATTTAGTTTGGTGCAGTAGGGATTTCCCCCCCTTCCTTCCTTGAGTCAAGCTGATCGGAGACCCTAACCCCTTAGAAGGACCTGCCTTTGCATGTGGCATATGGCTTGGCTGCCTCGCTCAAGATCAGCTGGTATTTTTCTGCTTTGCGCATCCCTGTCTCAATGGCATCCCTGTCACAAAACATCAGGTGATCCCTGCTGGATCAAACCTAATCAAGGGTAGGTAAAAAAAGACCCCTGGTCTGTTAAGTCCAGTCAAAGGCGACTATGGGGTTGTGGCGCTCATCTCGCTTTCAGGCCAAGGGAGCCGGCATTTTGTCCACAGACAACTTTCCAGGTCATGTGGCCAGCATGACTAAACTGCTTCTGGCGCAACAGAACACCATGACGGAAGTCGGAGCGCATGGAAACGCCATTTACCTTCCCACCACAGCAGTACCTATTTATCTACTTGCACTGGTGTGCTCAATGTTCAAGTAACAGGGCTTCCTTCTTCAAAACCCTACAACTGCAAAGCCTTAAATTTGGGAATTGCAAAGAGCAGTTAGCCATGCTGAAAGAATTTTTAAAGTATTGTTATTGCAATGATTTTTCATACATGCATCCATACTCTTCTTCAACACCTTGCACAAAATCACAGTGGTGTACATTGGGAGGTGGGATACACTGTCATGTCTATAGCAGAACAGTGCCTCTGATGCTGGCCATAATAGAATAATGGACTGGTAACGTTCCATGGATAAACTTATTTTAATATGCTTCTTTGTTTTCACACCACTGCATCCAAACAAGACTTCCTGCAGTATCGATCTCACATGGTTTACTCATCCCACCGATTCTGTCTAGAGCTAGAAGAACTTCATTCTGCCACTTTGCCAGCCGTATTGCAGGACCTCTTCTCTTAAAAAAAATAAATTTAAAATTGGCGTTGCTACAAGGTGAGCCATCGGACGACTTCACTAAAAGGAATTCTTGTATTTAAAAGAGTTCTTCCAATTATAATATTTTCCCTGCTTTGTATAATATTATTCTGGCTTGGGTTGGGAGATTGATTTGTCTGTTTTACACGGTTGAAAAAGGCAGATGACCTAGAACAAGCAATCCCAAACGATGATGATTGAAAAAGAGAGCAACTAAAACAAAACCTGTTGCCCGGATTCCAGTCCTAAAGCGTTTCCCCACATTGTGTGCCTAAGTATTGTATGGACTTACTGTGGTACATCTTCAGATATCTCGAGGGCTGTCAGATGGAAGATGGAGCAAGCTTGTTTTCTCTGGAAGACAGGGCTCAATGGCTTCAAGCTCTAAGAAAGGAGATTCTGACTAAACACCAGGGAAAAAACTTTCTGACAATATGAGCTGTTCGACAGTGGAACAGTCTCTCTCGGGTGGTTGTGGACTCTCCTTCATTGGAGAATTTTAAGCAGAGATTGGATGGCCATCTGCCATGGATGCTTTAGCGGAGTTTCCTGCACTGCAGGGGGTTGGACTAGATGACCCTTGGTGCCCCTTCTACAATTCTATGGTACAGCACTGGCATATCCTCCAACATTTCTCTGATGAAAATAGGTACATCTTGAATAAGAATAATAATTTATTATTTATACCCTGCCCATCTGACTAGGTTGCCCCATCCATTCTGGGCTGCTTCAAGTAGGACTAATTCAGCCAGCTAGCCCTGGTGATTATCTAATGCTTATTAGATAGATTTCCCCTTAAATTGATTTCTGAAATTTGAATTGTATTGTTATTCATGTTTTTATGCTGCTTTTACAATTAAGTGTTTTAAATTTGTTGTTAGCTGCCCTGAGCCCGGTTTTTGAACCGGGAAGGGTGGGGTATAAATAAAAAATTATTATTATTATTATTATTATTATTATTAACATAATAGTTTAGCCCGTATAGTTAAAGCTATGGTTTTCCCAGTAGTGATGTATGGAAGTGAGAGCTGGACCATAAAGAAGGCTGATCGCCGAAGAATTGGTGCTTTTGAATTCTGGTGCTGGAGGAGACTCTTGAGAGTCCCATGGACTGCAAGAAGATCAAACCTCTCCATTCTGAAGGAAATCAGCCCTGAGTGCTCACTGGAAGGACAGATCCTGAAGCTGAGGCTCCAATACTTTGGCCTCCTCATGAGAAGAGAAGACTCCCTGGAAAAGACCCTGATGTTGGGAAAGATGGAGGGCACAAGGAGAAGGGGACGACAGAGGACGAGATGGTTGGACAGTGTTCTCGAAGCTACCAGCATGAGTTTGACCAAACTGTGGGAGGCAGTGGAAGACAGGAGTGCCTGGTGTGGTCTGGTCCATGGGGTCATGAAGAGTCAAACACGACTAAAGAACAACAACAACAACATAAACATATATAAAAACATAATAAAACATTTTAAAACTTCCCTGTACAGGGCTGCCTTCAGGTGTCTTCTAAACGTTGTATTGTTACTTGCCGCCTTGGCTTGGGGGTCGCAAAGCCATCCAAGTTGGCCATCCCTACATCTTGTGGTTGGGAAATGTCCTAGTAGCCATTGATAGTCTTATGCTGGTCGGGGGGGGGGGCGTGCTATATGATTGAGACTGTGTAGGCTGCCCTCAACTCCTTGAAGGAAGGAGAGGGGTAGCAAGAGAAGAGGGCATCCTATTCCACTCAAAGCTGGCAGCTCCAGGGCATATGGCCAGGCTCTCTGGAATGGCCGCAACTCTTCAGCAGGGCTAGTACAGACATCTGATGTAAGCAGATGTGGCTCGCATTTGTCAAGGCTCGCAGGAGCAGCTGCTGTTGGCTGCCATTCAGTGTGTACGTAAAGGAAAGGCTCTCTGAGGGCGAAGACAGTATTTTGGCTCTGGTCTGTTTAGGCCTAGCTGCTTTGTTCACCTTGACAACAGTGGGGCCACCATGATGCTGGCCGTATTTCAATCCGGCGCTCTCCGCGAACTTGCAATAGTGGCCTCCTTGTATGAAGTAAAGGGAAGCCGGTGATCTGGCTCTGCGCCTGAGGGGGCAAAGCCATTCGTTCAGTGACTACTTGGGCACCATCACTGGGACAGTCTGTCAAGTCTGGCAGTAAATGCCTCGTTAAGCAACAGGGGTCCCCCATAATATTGACTTAGTGTTAATGAGAGTCTGTGCTTTAATAGACACCAGGGATGATCTGCCACTAAAATTAATCACGGTGTTTGCTAAACTACAAGCTGTTAACAGGCAAGAGAACTTGCTACTGGAATTTTTAGTTTATTATCCCTCCTCTTTTTTGGGGGGGGGGGTTTGGACCAGTATTCAAGTCAGATTTGAAGGGATGAGTTGGGGACTAATGATGATTTTACTGATTTTAAAAAAATTGCTTGCAGAAATTGATTTTTTCACATTCATTTGTCGATCTGTGCATGGATGAAGGAACGCCTAGTTATCCATCACAGGGCATCACAAAGAGGCACACAAAGAAGGAACTCAAATGATGAACAAAGGGTTCATAAGGCGAGAGGCGATTTTGAGGTACTACAGTCCTGAACCGTTTCAGGCTTTATAGGTCAAAACCATCACTTTGAACTGGGCCTGGAAACTAATTGGCAGCCAGTGCAATTGGACCAGGGTTGGCATTACATGCTCAAACCATTGGTGAGCAACCTGGTCACTGAATGTTGCACCAGCTGAAGTTTCCAAACCATCTTCAGAGTCAGCCCTATGTATAACACATTGCAATAATCTAACCTAGAAGTTACCAGAGCATAGACAACAGATGTTAGGCTATTCCTGTCCAGGTAGGGACACAGCTGGGCCGCCAGACAAAGCTAATGGAAGACACACTGTGCCACCGAAGCCTCCTAAACCTCAAGCAACAGCAATGGCTCCAGAAGTAACCCTGAGCTGTGTACCTGAGGAGTGTAAGGTAAAAAGGTAAAAGACCCCTGGATGGTTAAGTCCAGACAAAGGGGGGCTGTGGCGCTCATCTCGCTTTCAGGCCGAGGGAGCTGGTGTTTGTCCACAGACAACTTTCCGGGTCATGTGGCCAGCAGGACTAAACTGCTTCTGGCACAACGGAACACCGTGATGGAAACCAGAGCTCATGGATGTGCTGCTTACCTTCCCACTGCAGCGGTACCTACTTATCTACTTGCACTGGTGTGCTTTCGAACTTCTAGGTTGGCAGGAGCTGGGACAGAGCAGTGGGAGCTCACCACCGTCACAGGGATTCGAACCACTGACCTTCTGATCAGCAAGCCCAAGAGGC